AGATTATTCGTATGATATTCATTTACTAACTTGTAGGAGCATTAATTTTTAATAGTATTTCCCAGAATTGAGTAGTAATACATGTATTTCATTAATGTTTAAATCAATTATCATATGTAAATACATGCTCTACTCATCTTAATGGTTTTACCCAATTATTGTCATATTTTAGATTATTCTTAATGATATTCATTTGCTAACTTGTAGGAGCATTAACTTTTAATAGTATTTCCCAGAATTGAGTAGTAATACATGTATTTCATTAATGTTTAAATCAATTACCATATGTAAATACATGCTCTACTCATCTTAGTGGTTTTACATTATTGTCATATTTTAGATGATATTCATTTGGTAATTTTGTTGGAGCATTAATTTTTAGTAGTATTTCCCAGAAATGAGTAGTAATACATGTATTTCCTTCATGTTTAAATCAATTACCATATGTAAATACATGCTCTACTCATCTTAGTGGTTTTACATTATTGTCATATTTTAGATAATATTCATTTGGTAATTTTGTTGGAGCATTAATTTTTAATACATGCTCTACTCATCTTAGTGGTTTTACATTATTGTCATATTTTAGATAATATTCATTTGGTAATTTTGTTGGAGCATTAATTTTTAGTAGTATTTCCCAGAAATGAGTAGTAATACATGTATTTCCTTCATGTTTAAATCAATTACCATAAATACCATGACATATGATAATCATACGCATCAAAAAGCATGTTATGCTTAATTATTGGTGGGATATAATATTTTTTGTTTGTAGCATGCTTTTGAAATGGAGGAAGCAGAAAATAAACTTGAACAGAAGAGGCGGTTTGGCAGTCCAGTTTTATATGGTGATTCAATTCAAGTGAGCCAAAAAATACTTTTAGTAACTACACGTATTCCCTTCATTCTTTTTTTCTATTCTGCTGCATCTCTTCTTTTCTTTATTATTCATTTTCTTTATCTTTCTCTCTCTTCCTTTTATGTATTCAACATGTATCTCTCCCCTCCCT